TATATAAATAGACATTCTCAGTATACTACACACTACGCACACTCTCTCCCACACCCAGCTACCTACCGCGTACACCATGTTCAGGTCAGTGGTTGAATCCATCCACTGTTCACATTGGATGGGCAACTGATATCCATAAACCGCTGACACATCATCCGCTTGTACTCCCGACACAATCTCCTCCGGGCCAATCAGAATCGTTCCTGCCGACGGCCCAAGTGCGGTCTCGATCTCTATGGTACTGTATAGTGTGTGTGTGTGTGTGTGTGTGTTAAAGATCTCATAGGGTATAGGGTGTAAGGTGTAGGGTATAGGGTATAGGGTATAGGGTATAGGGTACAGGGTACAGTGTATAGTTAAAATACTCGTATCGAGTAGGGCATGCACACAGTTAGTTACAGCTTCACAGAGGGCCTGTACAAGCACATACGGTTGAAATACCCCCACCCTTTCACCAAGACTCACCTGGAGCCATATTGCGTCGCATTGTTGGCAGAGCCATCCCACGCCAGACATTCAAAGTGGTACCTCAGCCCATTGGTTAACGTATAAGGTGCTACTACCAACCGACGCTCGCGGGATGTGGTGCTGAAACGGCCGTACGCAAAGGTTTGTGCGCCCGTGGGCGGCTCACCGGACCACCGGACATTCTGGGCAGACGTCTCACACACGAGTATCAGAGAATAGTCTACGCTGTGGTGGGAGGTGGAGCTCAGCACACTTCCTGCGGGGATGTGATTGGTTGATATAAATAGCACACGTGAGAGTCGGTGGGCTGATGCGTATGTCCTGTGCTCCTGGTGTGATCTATGGCCACCCGTACGTTGTGTGCAGATAGATTATAACGGTGATAATGGTCATGTGAAGTACAGTGTTGCTCATATATATATATAATACTCATATTTAACTATATATCTATTTATTATTTTGTTATATACATATACATATACATACATATATATATATATATATATATATATATATCTATCATGTGCTTCCATGCATGTGATTGAGCGCTTATGCAGCGCATATATACGTATGATGCGAATGACCACACACACAGTGGTATGGACGTTTCCACAGACAGTGTCGAAGAGTGCACCCGTGTGATCGTATGCTCGAGATATAGGTACGTATTGTACACCAATCAGATAGCCGAGAGGATGAGTCATGCAGCACATACCGTCATAGCCCAGGCGTTTGGTGGTGACCAATGGGAATGTGGCATCAACCACAGACACTGTGGTATGCGCGGAACTGATGGAGAGCCCTGGTGTGGACAGCTTACTCAGGTCTTGTACGGTTAGTGTGAACTGATAGTCGCCTGTCAAGGAAGAGCAGTGCGAGAAGGGCTGTGTAGGTAAGTGGGCTAAGAACAGTGTGTAGGTATGGTGTGTAGGTACGGTGTGTAGGTATGGTGTGTAGGTAAATGAGTAGGGTATCATAGCTTGTGACATGGTGCATCTGTGAATGGGGTGGAATGATAACTATGTGCCGTTTAAAGGACAATGGAAATTATAAGAAATGAAAAGGAATAGAACGAATGATAAGGTTTGTTGTATGTCGGTGGTGTGGTGCAAGTGTGATTGGACAGGCAACCAACGGACACGCAGGCATTGTCGTTAGAAAGGCCCGTTTAAAGTACATGCGATGTGAATGCGCATGACCTGCATACAACCAAGTACAGGGGTATATATATATATATACGTATACATAAACATATACATATATACACACACATACACCTACACATACACATACATATGCATATGCATATACATATACATATACATATACATATACATATACGTATGCGTATACATGTACACGTACATGTACAAATACATATACACATACACATACTTATACACACACATATACATTCACATATCTACCTACCTGAGGGCCATGCGGTGGCATTGGTCAGTGATTGCGTGAGTAGACTGGTGGTAGTGAAGTTGTCTGTCGCACATGCCACATTGGTATCGCTTGTGTTGGTCATGTACTGGCATGTCCAGTAATAGACCAGATCGACCGCCTGGACATTCTGTATTTGGGCGGGTAGGTAATGGACAATTAAGGAGGAGCCGTGAAACTAGTGCGTCGCTGTAAGTGAGTGTGGAGTTGTGCGTCTGCCACAAGTCATGTCAGAGGGTACGGGTGTGGCTGATTTAACACCGACCGAATAATCCAACACCATCATGCTTGCCTGACAGTCTAATCCTTTTAGGGTTTATGGTTCGGTTTTAGGGGTTTATCAGGGTGCAAGGATACCAGCCCGTTCTCACGCATGGCTGTGGATGTGTACATGTATGTAGGCTATTCACGGTTTGCTGTTGTTACACATGCCAGTGGATGTGTACATGTGTGTAGAGCTATTCATTTTTACTGTTCTTCTACAATTATTCACTGGCGTATAGGGGTATCCACCACTTTATCACAAGTACATGCGTGTACATACCCTCCCATACAACTACTGTGCTTCCCCCCCCACACACATCTGCTCATACCCACACGTCTCACTAAAACAAACACGCCAGACAAGCACACCTTCACATCCCGAGACCGTGACTGAGACCCGTCCAGTACCAATGGTGTGTTACGGGGTTGTCGGGTGGTTGTGCTGCTGAGGATAGCCTCTGCTGGTAGGGCTGTGACTGTGACCGATATCTCCGCAGTAGACAGGGCCTCCAGGACAACACTGTCGGTCACAGTCAGGACAAACCTGTACAGCCCAGGTGCAAGGACATTGGGCTGGGGGCAGGGGGGGGGGTGTAGGTAAGCTGGGGGTAGCGGAGGGAGTGTGATACTCACTATATATGGACAGGCAAGCCTATTCGAACGTTGGTAAAATATAAAAAAAACTAAAATGCACGTCCCGGTATTGGGAGAGTGTACATACCGGTATAACCAACGTACTGTCGTTCTGCGTGCTTCGCCACACGGCCGAGGCTTCCAACCGTGAGACAATGGCGTCGCTGATAGCAGCACCAGCGTCAGTCTTGACGGCCCATCTATGTACGTGTATGTACAAACATACGTAGATAAGTACATATACTATACATATATAC